CCATATAAATGCGATGAGCGCAATGAATTATGCCCCGTTATTGATCCAATAATAAAAACACTAATAATAAGTACACATTAGATAATGCCATTTTGTAGTGGGCATTGATAATGGCAAGCACAAAATGGCAGTAGAAATTCTGTGGCAAAAAAATACCGAAGAACCATCGTATGTAACGAGCGTGACAATGACTAATAATGTGTTTTATTTGAACAAGTGCTTAAATTTCAACTGTATTTTTACAAGGACACACGAATTTCGGATATAATTAATCACCGGCAGAATCAAGAAATATTCAAGGAGTAAAATTGGAGAGCACATGAATGTTTGTAGATTGAATTTGCTTTCCCTGTATAACTATATTAGACACTTTGCAGACCTTCGTATCTTTGTATCCGTGTGATCAGTTTTATTATTATAGATGCCTACGTACTTAATTCCAGAACATAAAAACTTAATCTATATTATTATTAAAACAATTGACGTATAATACCCTAGCGGAAAAAAAATTTTTACGAAAAAATACAGAAAAACTGCATAGATTGAGAAATCTTAGAAATTCTTAATTTTTTGTAGATATCTGTAGTGGGACGTAAAATGAGGATTGTCTTAGAAATTCTTAGTTTTAGTTTTTTGAGGGCGAAGGATTGCTTGCTTTTTGAAACAAACAAACATCACTCTCTACGTCTCACTACAAATATCTTTAAAAAACTAAGAATTTCTAAGACCTCACCTCACACAATCTATGTAGATTTTCGTAAAAATTTTTCCGCCAAAGATAATTGAATATTTTGTAATTTATCTCACTATTTTCTGATATTTATTGTCCAAACAGTTAATCACACGATCGATAAACAAACAAAAATATAATGAATTTGCTTCAGATATCGTTCGCATTGCGAAATTTATACCTCCTATTTCAAATTAAGACTTATTACTGTTGATCAAAATTTTCCAGAATTAAACGCAATGCCTCGAAAACTATGACGAAAAGATTCTAGATAAAACCAGCATTGATAGTTTACGTTAGCATCTAGATTTTCACAAAGCATTCGATGAAAAACACGGCACATTGTCTTATATTAATACATGCACACCATACATATGTATATATAAAGCGTTGTTTAGATTATACAAATTTATTTATTTTCTCATAATAAAATATTCAATTCTCTATTTATACTTCGCATGGAGAACAATCCCATACAAGACGTGTCCTGCGCATCCAGCGAACCTTTAGCGAACACGAATATGCGATACACATGATATACATCGATTTTTTAATTACAATTAATTTGACATATATCCACTTGGCTCTCGCAACCGAATTTATCTTTAACGCCGCCATATCTCTCTGGACGGTGCTAATGGCATAGACCCGAGAGATTTAGCGTATTATGCCTCTCTTTGTCATACACTGATATGCTACTTAAATGTGTCGAACGATTGCTCATACAATCATGATAATAATTCTATTACCTCTAAATATCTGCTACGTCGCAGACTTATGCATAGGACGTACGTGAATAATATAATATGTAATCAGCGTTTTCTTCGACTTTGTCGCAAGCTCGACTCTCCCTGTTAAAGTAATATTGTAGTGATAAAGTACTGTAATGAGTAAAAAATGTAGGGTTTGGACATGGCGTGAAAATGATTTTATCTTTTTTTGTTACATTAAAATGTAGCAAACTCGAGAGACTTCACCAGCCAGACTTCACCAATGTAAGATAAACTTTATCTCGGTTTATCTTTTTCTAATACTTAGGACAAAAAGATAAATAGTAAGTTAAACCGATTAAAATTAAACTTACATTGCTAAAAGTCGGTCTTTTAATGCCAATAGGCGTATGTCGTTAGTTCTTATCTGCCGAATATCAACGACTATCCTAAGAACAATGATGTCTTTACTCTCGTTATGTCTTTTTACACTTAATGATTCGATTGGCACGCACCGCGTGCATGTTAAATAAATACTTTCAAAAGTGTGTATAAATCGGTGTATAATGTATTACATATAAACAATTCGGCTTCTCTCTTATAGACTTATTAGAGAATCCTTTCCGGCAAGCAAATTATAATAAATTTTATACAGGATAAGTTTAAGCGCCTTTCTAAAGAAATATGATTTAAACTCGTTGAAGAGTTATCGTTTTTTAAATTCAATTTGCCTGCGGAAACGACTTCCTATAATGAAACTAACAAAAATGGTTGACTTTTGATCGATAAATTTATACCTAGATGACATTTGAGATTCTTTTTGCTTTTTAAATAATTGAGAATCTCACTTTTCGCAATTTGTATCACGTATTTCTTAAAGGTGTACGAATAAGAATTGTAGAAAAATTAGCCATAATGTGTACAATTGAATGTACGGTTAAATTTCAATTCATTTTGACCAGTTCATTCCTAACGATCGAAGGTTAACTTGCATTCACTTCCGTGAAATATGTAGTGAGCCAATCATTTACGCTTTTTGCATTTATTTTTACCCAGTGAATGTTGAATTTTATCATTTCTATGCTTTGCTGTAGCGTGCGGTTAGCGCTGCGAACGTCGCGTTGCTTGAAGAACTCCGAAACCTAGAAAAAGAAATTATAAAATATTTTCATTGTGGTATAATTTTAAAGAAATCAAGTGCAATTATATATATTTTTGAGAAATTAAAATTTCAAAAAAATGACTTCTTACTTCGCGATAATCATATTCTGTAATGAAGTAGTCAGGAACAACGCTAAGTATGAGATTGCTTATCGAGAACGATTCATTTACATATAAAGCTTCTATTTGCGGCCAATAAGCTTTAATGTGACGCCAAGCGAGATAATGTCCGTGTGGATTGGCAGCAACGGACGTTATGATAGTATTAACTTCTTGCGCTTTAAGCAGATTTCGATTCAGTGATAGTCGAAGATAACGTTTAAGTAACCAAGGATCCATCGTCGAGCCTAAAGCTTGCAACATTAATAATTTTTCACTCTGGATTTGTGTTTTAAGATAAACCTGCCAGCAATGCTGCCAGTCAGTCTCCTCTCCGAACTTGATACCTACAAGCATATTAGTATTAAACAAATTATACAAATTATTTTATTTCGCGTTTCTCTAAGACTGATATTTATAGTCGGATCTTATTTCAACATTATCTTAATTAATATCTTAAGATGCTTTATTGTTTCAATTGCAATATTATTAATATCTTAAGACTTAAGATGCTAATATCGTTGTGATTGATTTATGTGCACTTAAGATGGTTTTAAATAAAAAAAAATGGTTTTAAATATAACAGTCTATGAATACCAGTCTATATAATTATATTGATATTATATTATCAATAATTATATACAAACATTTTATATAAATAGTATATCCTTTCTTTACCTGCCATATAAACGATTTTCCGTATATTGGGTGCGATGCGTGTATCTTTCGATATCCAATCTTGAAAAAGACTTCTTGCAGATTTCACTACATCATCCATTTCTAATTCAACAGCAGATTTTAGTACTGCTGTTCTCAATAACCTGCATCAAAATAAAATTTGAAAAATTAATATCCTGTTCGTTTTGTTAGTCAGTGAATATCTAATAAAAATGAGCATGATTTTTAAATACTATACTTTTTCAAGTGAGAGCCTTCATCCGTCAAACCAATGTATCTTGTAATTGGACCCATTAGTTGTTTAAAGAATAAGGTATATTTTTTATACGCTACGCTTTCTGCCAGTCTGCCCTTCCAAAAGTTCAAATACCGAAGTACGGTCGCCCATGGCGCATAATCTCTTTCGTTGACGAGGTAAAGCGAAAGTTCTAACGGGATTGAAGCATCCACCTCACCCGCATCGCAAAGCGCAAATGCATCGTCGATGAGATTCGCCCGATCTGCCGGACTGAACTTGGTATGATTCTTTATCAGAGTTTTAATGATCGAAGTCCACATTTCTTTCGGGTAATTTACACGATAAAAGCCAGTTTGGTTGATGTTGCATTTGATGTAATCGACATCGCTCGATATGTCGAAAGTTGCTAAATAAAATTTGAAATACTTGTTTTAATCTCTTAATCAGGATTTGTGGAAATCGTGTGTAGCAAAAGTATGTGTCTTCTGAATCATAGACTTACATATACAGATTGCGCTTTCACACAAGAACTTGCGCGACAAGACTGAAGAGGAGCTAGCTATATCTTATTATATGTATCGAAGGATAGTTATATTCTATTATTTTCGTTCTTCCAATGTCCATAGACGTGCTACCTTTGTGGCGCAAAAAAAAAAAAGAAGATTTAAGAGCAGCAGTAACAAGCTAGAGATTGCCTGTACACATGCTTCCTCTTCTTTCGATCAGCTTCTAACAGAAGCGCTCGCTCTATGTATGTAAGTCTAAGTTCTGAATAGACAAATAAATTTGAATATAATTGTCACCATCGGTCATATTCATCCACACTTCCATATAAGATTCTGTCGAGTCATCCTTGTCTGTATAACAGTGCAACGGGATGTACCACTTGTAGTCAAAGGGTGACTTTGGACGCGAAGTATTTGCTCCTTCTCGAGGTGAAGCAAGGAACCTTTTTTGAGTCGCTGTGATAGTACTGTCTTCACGAATGATGGTAACAAGTGGGAAGCCCATTTGTTGGATCCAAGTGTTCATTATAATCTGTCAATATATTTTAATTGTATTAAATATATACAGCAAAAACGCGCGAAATAATTATTCTTACATACTTATTGCACTTACTTTCACATCAAGTTCTGTACTAACAGATGAATTTTTAGAATGTTTTGTGAGGACCTCCCACAGATCATTGGTCTCCGTATTTCCATATGCGTGCGTATTTAGATAATCATTTAGTCCGCTTTGAAAAGCACACGCGCATAAAACTACTTCCAACATATAGAGGACGGAAGCACCTTTGTAATAGCTAACCGTATCGAATATGCTTTCTATCTCAATGGGGTTTTCGACGAATACGCTTACAGGGTGACTATTGGCTAGTGCATCGAGCTCGAGTGCTCGTTGCGTTTTGTGTAATATGAACAAATCCATCATGCCCCATTCAGGAAAAATATGATTCACGCCTTTGTATTCAAAGAACGTCGCAGCACCTTCATTCAGCCACAGATCATTCCACCATTTCATTGTCACGAGATTGCCGAACCATTGATGAGCTAATTCGTGAGCCATAATAACGGCTATATATTCTTGTATTTCGGTAGGTGTTTCTTTTGGGTCGTACATTAAAAACGATTCTCGAATAGTAATTAGGCCCCAATTCTCCATAGCAACGGGTTCAAAATCAGGAATTGCTATTATATCTAAGCGCAGAAAAAGTAATATATATATTATAAAATATTATATTATATATTAAAACACAAAGTATTAACAATTTTTTTCATAAGTACGTTTTATCCACATTTTATTTGAAAAACCTACCTTGCTTTGGCAAAGGATAAGGTATGCCAAAGAAAGATTCAAAGTAATCCATAATACGAGTAGCAGTGGTCGTGGCATATACCATATGCGGAAGCGTATGCGATGCGGCATACACACTTACAGATGTGTTTCTCTTTGTTAGTTCGAAAACTCTTTTAAAATCGCATACCACAAAAGCCACCAAGTACGTTGACATGTCTACAGATTCTTGAAAATCGTCGCGTAGCTGAAAAGCAACATTATTCTGAATCAGGTTGATGCAAGTATGGTCACTCGCAGATAATACCACAATTGCAATAATGATCTGATTTGTTATGCTTACGATCAGCAAATGAAACAAAGTGATATTTGAGATGTCAATCGTGAAGCTTTCACATCAAATTAAATAAGTAACATTAATTAAATAATATATTTATTTACTTACTAAAGTACTTACGAGATTTGTACCCAAATAAAATCCAGCCTCCTCTGTATTTATCGCAGGCATATTACATAACGCAATGTGAAATCTATCTCTATATATTGATATCTTAAATTTAGCTTTAAATTGTGGTTCATCGAAACATGGAAAGGCCATGCGCGCGTATGTTGGTTCGAAACGAGTTGTAGCCAAATATCTAAAAATTAAAGAAAAAATTGAAAAGCCCAGTCTTATTAAAGCAACGTACGATAAAGTATCCATTTGTTGTAAAGAGAATAATAATAATAATAATTTTGAAGTTACCTGTAGTCTCCTTCAGGCGTAGTGTAACTGCTAAAATAGAACCCTTTAAGTTCAGTAGAATTTAACGTCGAATTAAAACTCAAAAATAGTGTGTAATTATTCTTTTTCCGAAACGATGAATCTTCCAATTCCAGATATAACTGCTCGCGCTTCGGATACTCGAGTAATTTCGCAATTTTCAGTTCTTCTTGACCCTCTTTCACTATCTAAAAGTCAACTCTCGAAAAATTATACAAAAACTAACATTGTAAAAGCTGTACACGCGATCGTTACTTACTTGCTCCTTTATTGTCAAGTTTTTACTATGGAAGACGATAAATTTGGTCTCTTCATCAACATAGAATTCAATTGTGACTCGTCCTAAAAAATGAGAGTAAACTATGAATTTATTACGTACAAATAAAATATTTTTTTATTAAAACGCATAACTTTTTAAATTTACCTCTAAATTCTAAGGTGGTAAGATTTGGATGCATGGTAATATTGTACCTAGTAGGATGTGCGAAGGCAGGTAATCTTATGTTATCCCATGGAAACACCTGCAAAATTTCTTATTATTTGATATTAAATTCGAGAAATAAAAAAATAGATACTTATTGCCATAATTATATCTATTAACTCATTTTTCATTACATCTTGTACGGTGTACACAGCCTTACTTTAATTAAACATATTCTAAAGCAAATTTTTTTTCTAAATTTCTATACTTTGTAGATTTTGTAATTTTACGATATTACAAAATACGCATAATTAGCTTATTTAATAAAATATAACATAAAAAATATATTTTTCAATTAAACAAATATTATATAATCATTGTCAATAAATAAAATAGAAAAATTTTTCAAAACTAAACAAGATATGTGCAATTTTTTGTCTTAAATATTAATCATGTTAATGTTTTCATATGTATTTAAATGTGTGTACCTCTCCATTCTCCATCCGAGGCACGGTGTCCTTTTCGTCATCCGTAATTTTACTCGAGTCTTCTTCGGAACAAACGCAGCCTAAAGAGAGAAAAAATATGTGAAATAAATATAAAAAATGTGATCTTTCTGCAAAAATTAAATTTATGAATGATTTATTTATGTTTGAATGATTTAATATTGTAACTTTCGAAAATACGAGGCTCGCTTCAAATAGAGATTTGACATTTAAATACCAGTTCGCAAAGGCGCCAAGGCGATGATAAGTGCTGTGACAAGAAGTACCAGGCAGCAAACACAAAGTACGCAGTAAGTCTTTCTCTCAGAACATCTAACGACTTCATTTGCGCGCTCGTAAAAGTTACGTCTGTGCAATCCTGCGCTGCTATCTCCTGAAACAAGGAATATCCTACAGACAGGAATTCGATTCAATATCATATAATTTTGTATAAATTCGCCGCAATTATAATTGCATATATATAATTTATAGCTAATTAACATAATTAATTTAAAATAATTAATTTTAATTGATTAGGTAGGTATGCAAATTTCATTGCATAACTATTAATATATAATCTAAACAAATTTCTTTCTTTATCAGCTTCGTTTCATTTTCACATGCGCAACACATCGAAATAAGAAGTTAATATAATTACAAAATAAAAATAAGTCATTTTAAATATAAATTTCAAAATTTTAATCATTTTGTATATACATATTATTTATAAAAAATAATTTCATTACATATATATGTACATAAAAAATATTATTTACATATTAATTGAATTTAATTTACAAATTATATTTAAGATTATTAATTTAGTATTTTTATGCTTATGCTATAATAAAAAGTTTGCTCTCCTTACGATTAAGCTCTTGATCTGGATTTTGCATTGTTGTACGACTATGCAGAATAACTAGTGCACTTAACTTATGCAAACAATTAAGTAATAACATTTTTAACAATTTGAATGTTAACGTTTTTAGTTTTTAGAATTTTTTATATTTATATTTATATTTAAGACACACAATTAAATATGTAAATATATTTATTTCTTATATATTTTTATTAAAATTTATTAAAATTTAGTAATTAAAATTTAACAAACGTATGAAATAAACTGATAAATCTATACATAGAAATGAATGTTAAATAATTCCATTTTAAATAGTAAAAAAAAAACATACATTTATTTTTGTAATACTTAGATTTGAGATTTTTTTAATTTGATATTATTGTAACATTTTTAAGACACGTGTTATGTATCTTTTAATGCTTCTTGTGATCTCTTTAAAATTATACTTTTTTTTTGTTCAAAACATGGATAATCTTAATTTATTATTTTTGTAGTCAATATTTTTAAGCTGTGATAGGAATTTTATCTATACACAAATTTTTTTAAAATAAAGATTTGTCTTAGAGATTTTTGTGTAGTGTCAATATAATACATTAGCTTTATTTTATTTAGTTCTTATTGAAATTTAAAATTTAAATAACAATCAAAGAAAATCTTTAAATCTATAAATCTTGAAAACGGATAATTCGTATAAATTATATGACGTTTGTAACGTGTATAATATTTTTGCAAATATATTTTCTTACACAGTCATGCATATACATAGATACATGCAATGAAATCATCGACAACATTATCAACTCGTCATACGTATCTATTTCTACTTCAATAAAGACCTTAACAGAGACCTTAATAATAAAAGCCACGAATGATTGTGATACAAGCGCGTGGGTGAGAACGAAGTGTGCATGCTTTAATTCGAAAGATCAGAGGAAGCTTTCGTTTTATTGATCGCACACACGTGCTTTATAGTCTACTCGCAACTCGTGGAGGATTGTAAGTGGGCCACCTAACCGAGTTCTTATAGAAAATAAATCTAGGTATAGTAGACGTGTATTTAGTTCTTATAGAAAAGAAATCTAGGTATAGTAGACGTGTATCAAATAAAAAAGCGTCAGAGGCACGAGATCGTATTTTACTCCCCAACAAGCCACCCAGCGGGGAGATCTCACCTGTCAGAAAGGCAACATCGTCCACATCCTGCTCGCTCATCGCGAACCGATTTGGCGGCGGTCTCCGATGAACGAGTTCTTTTACCTGACCGTCTTTCGAGGCATAGGCAACTTTTATGAGCGGCTCTCTCTGTTCAGCCAGTATTTGCGCGGATGCTTGATCGTCGCCTCGTAGCTTTTCCCTTGACCGAGCTTCCGCCACTGTACCGTCGTCTCAAAATTGAAGCTTCAACGAGGAAGAAGTTCGACTTTAATAGACGGCGTTTGGACTTTAATTCACCGTGAAGCCGGTTCGCGTGTGCCGCCGCGGTCATTCGAGCCGTATCAGTTATTATCGGCTCAAGCCTCTCTACCATTCGCTACACGCAAATGCAGCAATGTGACCGGATTAGGTCGCGTCGGTCTTTTTTTTTTTTTTAGGCCTTTGAAAATAAGCCTTGATCAGTAATTTCAACGCTTTATCGATAGCGCGCTTCTAAGATACGCGTGGGATTCAGCGGGCAACATCAGGAATCAAACACGAGTAATGACGCGCGAACGACCGACGTCACTCATTCAGTGTAAACGCGCTAACCCGTGCGTAACGCGGATGCACCGAGCACAACCGGGACTCGGACTTTATGCAACACCACCGCAAGCAGCACGACCGCAATCAACCCTACCGCAAAGAACCAGTACCGCCAGTACGCGAGGAACCGCGAGCTTATGAAACCCAAGCTGAGTATCCCGACACCGTCGGCGAGTCTATAGCGCGCGGCATTCCTTGACATTTCATTGGCATTAAAGGCGTGGGATATAGCTACTGCGGAGTTAGGCAGAAATGGCGGCTTTCCAAACCCCCTGGTGGTGGACTGCTTTACGGGGGTGGTTTTGCCGGTCCTCGTGAGTTGGGGGTGGTTAGCATTACGGTGGCGCCATCCCTGATCTACGCTTTGCAACCTCTCCGTAGGTGGCCCATCGTGATATTGGTCTCAGTCGTGGAAGCAATCAACCGGACAATGCAGGGGCTTTATGGCTTTTTACTTCGTTTTCTTTGATATTACAAAGTTTGATCCAAACGCTAGGATGTTTTTATGTTACATTTTTTAAATTGTTTCTAGTCAGTTAATAAAATACCGTTGTTTTAATTTTATAAAAGCAAAGAAAAGATTTACTACCTAGCATTCCTTTTTATTGCTTTTTCCCGTTAATACATATGAGTTTCGAAAAATTAATAAAGTTACTTGATTTTATTGTATATTAAAGAAAATGTGTAATTCCACGAAAGTTTCTTTTTTATATGTTTTTTTTGTCAAGATTACAAAAAAAGAAATGTACTTATGATGTATAATGATCATATGATTTTATTTTGTTATTTACATTTTTTCTTCATTTTAAGTCATTTATAATACAAGAACTATTAATTTATGATTTCGAAATATAACAGAAATTATTTATTATTTGGATCCTATTATATTCAAGCATTGTATAATATTTAATAAATTGATATTGTATTGATATAATTTTAATTAATTTCTCTCATCTTTTGTGTTAAACTACGATAACAAAACTATACGTATAGAAAGCTGTTTTCACAACGTATAAACAGAAAGCAAATGTATACTATATAACTGCAATTCCACAGATATGTGACCCTTTTGAGATCAGAATCGCGCGAATGGATCAGTTTGTTCGAGGGGTCCATATCGATTTTCTTTTCTCCACGCAGCCCCTCTGACAATCGCATTACGTTCATTTACGAAATAACATTTGTGTTTCTATTGAAGATAGAAGAAGTTTTATTGACGCGAACTCTTACAATTTAATTTAACAGAAATTAAAAATTAAATATTAAAAAAATGTTTAACATCATTTTAGAGAAGACATAGTTGAGCAATATGATTTCTATATATTGGCATAAAATTAATTTAATTACAGAGAGAGATACAAACAAAAATATTTACTGAATTTAATGTTAGATAAAATTATACTTTTTTTGTAAATTAATTTTTCATAAAAAGGATTTCAAGAGTATACATTAGCGCAAATATCTGCGAATCGATAAAGTTAATATGCCGACTAATTTTGATATCGACGAATATGGACAGAAAAGGAACGTTTATAAATGGCTGAACTTTTGAACTTATGACCCTTTGTATTTTTTTCTCATTGCTTTAGTGAGACTTCGACTACGAAAAAGATAAGCGTTGTATAATATGAGTTATTTAGATATTTCGTGATCGCAGTGAATCTCGTGCTGTTTTAAAATATATGTCGTATCTGGTCAAACGAATTCCGACGCTGGGCGAAACGCATTGAAACATTCATGCGCTTTCCGACTGCAATATGTTCGTCGAAGTTACGTGTCCCGAAAGGATCGGCTAGCGTTATAAACATCGATCTTTTTCTTAGTCAATTTAGTTTCGGAACACGTACTATTAGTGTGGTGGGTCTTCCGGTAATCAGCTAAACACGCGGACGCGATAAATAAGAGAAGAATTGAGATGTATTAAACTACTATGAAGATCGTAAATTCGAAAGCTTTCTTCCTTATAAGTCGTATAAGGCCATACCTATCTTTAGATTTTCCTAAGTAAGATTTGCATCGTGAGTAAGTCACGAAGGGCAACAATTTGCAAATTTTCAATGTATGGCAATCTATGTGGTCACGCGAACATCAAGGGAGCGCTATCTCAAACATCTAACTAAGCAGTATTCACGTTAAGATGGAGTTTATTAAATTTGAATAACATGAAATCACAAGAATTACCTGAGCAGAACAACGCGCACACACAGACAATCTAAATAAATACCCCAAATATATCGTGCGGATCGATACGATCTAAATTCTGTATAATCACTGAAGACGCGCGCGCACAATTCCTGAAATAGTTTCTCGCAAAAACCACGCAGCCAATCAATAAAACTTATTGTACGTTTTTTATCTTTTCGTCTGAAATATCTTTTTATCGATTATATTATGTTCCATATGTTTTTGCATAACGTAATTTATATAAATATATCTAGCACATTTGCAGTGTAAAACAAAAATTTAACAAAGTATAGAGATCTGTTTTCTGTGGATTGAATTAATACCTATACACTTTTGGAACATGATATAGGTATATATTTGATATTTGACGAAAGCGAGAAAGAGTTCTAGTGCAGTCTAGTGCAGGAATAAAGAACAGACCTATAATAAAGTGTTACGTACCTGAATCGCAGGTTTTTCTTGCGGCATGTCTTAACGGTGCCTTCGCGTCTATTTCAGCAGGATCGGTAGATTCATGTCGCCTAGGCGTCCTAGACAAAGGCTCCAACTGAATATTCTCGCTGCTATCCTTTCCTGGACTTCCTTTCGGCATTTTATTTTCACTTTTCTATTTTCTCTTCTACTCCGGCCGATCTTTTATTTGGCAAAATCGGAGTTTCGCGCGGAAGAAACTTTTTTCTTTGTTTCTGAAGCTCTTTGTTTGTCAAGTGACATAGTTCGAGTTTGTTGCTGATTGACGTTTTGCTAATTATCGCTACTTTATATCGCTACTCGAAAAATAAACGTCGGAGCCACAGACCTTCTGCCATCTTCAAACATTCTCACGACATCTCACGATGGTATCGATCGCCCTTTTCCTATACTGGACGTAATGTTCATGTCAAAAATTATATCGAGCTACTCTTTTGATAGTCTCTCAGTTAAATTTATACATCGGCACAGTACATCTGTACATGCACAAATATTTTATGTCGACAGCATTCGCATTGGTCCCGATATTACGATATGTTGCTCATAAATATTCAGTTTTGTTTGATCGCAGAAAAAGATATTGTATAAAAATGGTCGACAAATGTGATCCGTGACCAAACAATTTTCTTCGAGGTAGTGCACATCAATTAATAAAAAATTAATAGCATTTTACTACTTTCTTCGTATATAATCTTATGTTGACTCAAAGTAGAAAGATATAGGTACTCTGACGTCGCTGCTCGAAGGTTTTATCTTTTTTCTATAAATCGAACATACGTGTCTTTGTATAATACAAGGCTGAATAATTACAAGTTAAAGAAGTTCATGATGACATGTACTTTTATAAATTGTAGACAGCAGTTAATCAGTCTTCTATTTTGTATTTTCCGTGTCGTTGATTAACTTTAAATATGACGATATGTTTTTCTTTGCCAAAAGTTACTGGACGTCCAATCAATTTACATCTGCAATATTATAAGAATTATCTATTATAATTTTTTTTATTCAAGTATACTAAGGTTGTGGTTTAAAAGAGGTATTAATAGAGGTAGTAAGAGTTATTCTCGTCAAGCTTTTTACTGTTGGATCAATACTTTCAGAATAAAGATTTATTCATAATAAAAAAGCTAGAAGTAATAAGAAAAATATTTACAATAAAATATTTTATAAAATGCTTCTTTATAATTTTAAATTTTATCTATGTAACGTTATATAACCTGTTTTTGTAAGTACTTCGTTATAATCTTTAATTTTTTATTATGTTAGAACAATTTGTTCATTTTTATTGACTGTGTTTTTCCTTGCATAAATATCGGAGCATAATATTGCTTCCATAATCCGCAGTATTAACTGTTTATATAAAATATTTACATTAACATTTAATTGCATAATGAATAAAAACATAGAATTATAGCGCTTGTTGTGCAGTATGTATGCAAATAAATAATGAGACTATGAGAACGAGTATCTGAAATTATCAGTTGTTATCGTAGACGGGAACGTACGGAACTGTATCACTGTTCAAGGTCTATACAAAAGTAATTATACTCTGACTTACAGCGATCATTATGAACGATATTTGCGCTTTGCGCACGCAATAATAATAGCTTTCATCCAACTTGTGCGCGCGACTTTTTGATAAGAAATTTTATTAATAAAATAGTTAATTATTATAGAAAAAAATACATTTAGCGAAACATTAATAATGTCCTTTAATAATGTTTCTTTAATAATGTCCTTCTATTTCTC